CCGCCAAGGCCACCTTTTCCCCGCCCCCCGCCCCGCCCTCCCCCTAAAACCTTCGGCCGCCGCCTGCTGCAGGGGCGGCAGCAGGAGGCGTCGGCGGCCGTGCAGGCGCTGCCCAGCCCCGGGCGGCGCCTGCACACCCAGGACACCCTGAAGCCGCTGAAGTTGCCGCCCTGCGACTTTGGCCCCCTCCTCAACTACTGGGGCAGCTTCATGGGGGACACGTGCCCCGCCATGGGCTGGAGCATCGTGCCGCTCAACACCAGCCTGCCGGACAACCTGTGGGAGGCGCAGAAGGCGGCGCGCCGGGCGGCGGTGCTGGCGGCGGCTGCGGTGGGGCGGTGAAAGCCTGCAGCGCATGAACTGCTGCCCGATCCTTTTGATGTGGTTCGATGTAGTTCAATACTGCAATAATGATACCTTGTGATAGCAGGCGTGCCGAGTTGGCAGGAGGAGAGCAGGCACAGGTGCTTGCAACCGGCACAGGCGGTGCCAGCCTGGCGCTGAGAAAGAAAGGGGAGGCATCAACCTTATGATCTGCTCACGCTGTGGGAAGCTTCCACAGTTACGTAGGCCCCTCACATTCTCGGTTTGAGCCCAACCTGGCTGGACTGGCTGCCAGGGCTGCACCAGCTGCGGGGGCTGCGGCTGGCGGCGGCACAGATGCGGCTGCAGCCAGAGGAGGACCTCGCCGCCCTGCTGCCTCTGGCCGGCCGCCTGCTGGCCCTGCGCCTCGACGGCTGCCTGCTGCTGACGGATGCGGGGGCGGGGGTGTTGGCGCACCTCACGGCGCTCAAGCGCCTCGAGGTGACCAGCTGCCAGGTGGGGCAGGCGGCTGTGGATGGGCTGGCGGCAGCCCTGCCCCGCCTGGCACACCTCGAGCTGCGCCTGCTGGATGGGGTGGCGGTGAGTCGCCACTGCCTGCTGCTCGCCGGCGGCGGCAGGCTTGACACGACCACCACCTTCAACCCGCTGCTCAGCGCCAGCAAGCAGCAGCGCGGCAGCATGGGCAGCCCAGGGCAGCCCCGCCGTAGCTCCTCACCGTCCCACAGGGTCTCCACCTCCCCAACCCGCAGTGGATCGGCTGATGCGCCGACCCTCATCGGCCACCGGCGGCGAGCTGGCTGCCCACGCGTCCGCGTCAAGGCCGGCAGCCTGCTGGCGGGGGCGGGGGCGCTGATGGCGGGCTCCTCGCGCCTGGTGCTGCGCCACATCGACGGCGGCTTCCTGCTCACCGCCCCGCCCACCTTCCACCAGCTGCGCCAGCTGGAGTCGCTGAGGTGGGCCGCTGCCGGGCGGCGGTGGGGGCCTTCCTCCGCTTGAGCATGCTGCAGGCAGGAGGTTGAGCAGTGGGGCCAGCTCTCCAGCGCCAGCTCGCACCTGCACCGCTCTTCAAGCCGCGCCTCCCCGCCTTCCTCCCCCTCGCCTCCTCTGCAGCCTGTCCCGCATCCAGCTGCCGGCAGACGTGGTGCAGTAGCTGGCGGCCTGCACACTGCTGCAGGAGCTGGACTGCGAGCTCAACTACACGGTCAGGTGGGCTGCTGCGGCTGGCACATAGCGGTGACTAGCTGGGCCATGGTATGTGCTGGCGGGGCGGGGATCCCATCCAGCGCATTTCACAAGCCATCGCGCGCCTGCCTGCCACTCAGCTCACCCGCATCTGTGCAGAGACGAGGCGCTGGTGAGCTGGCGCTCGCTGGAGCGCATGCCGCCTCCGCCTCGCCGGCAACTTGTACCTCAGCGAGGGCGCGCTGGCGGCGGTGCTGCGCGCCATGCCGCGCATGCAGGCAAGGGCCCCGCCTGCTGCACGCGAAGGCTTGTGCCTGCTGCGCGTGAGCTGCCGCAGACCTTCACCATGCTCTCGGCTCCGGGAGCCTGGCTCAGCCGCCCATCCGGTGTGCAGGAGCTGCGGCTGGAGCAGGTGCAAGGCAGCGGCGCGCGAGACTGGCCACGCCTCCCAGGAGCGCCATGGCATGTTGAATGGCATCAGTGGGCCGGTGCCCTTCTGGCAGCTGCAATCCCAGCTCCAGCTCCCGTACCATCGTTCTTCTCTGTCGGTTTGCCCTCCATCGGCGCGCCGCACACTCGATCCAGTCAATCCGCCGGTCATCCCGCTCGTTGGGCACTGCGAAGCGTTCCGATGGCCAGCGTTCGGCTCGCGCCTGGAGGCCTGGAGGCCCTCGTCCCCGTTCGCAGGCCCTCCCGGGTTCCCAGCGGGCGGGCCAATGGATTCAGGGTGATGGCGAGCGGTACACGGTAAGCGCAAGCTGCTGGCACCATGACATCCGCACACATGTTGGTGGGCTGCACACCACACAGCCAGTGGGGTTCTGTCTTCACGAGTCTGCCTAGCTGCTCCCATTTCTCGTGCATGATGTGTGCGATCAGTGTGCGGGCCCAGAGTCGCGGCGCTGCAGCAGCCAGACCAGCTCCGGCGCCCCTCGCCTGCCGCTGCCGCTGCCGCTGCCGCTGCCGCTGCAGGGGGGAGCGGCTGTGGGTGGCAACCATCACCAGCACGGCCCCGGTGGTGGACGAGCACACTGGCTCCGACCTGGAGCTGACTGTCGTGGACCGGGAGGGCGAGGCCCGCGGCCCGCCCGCCCGCGTGGACGCCACCTGGGAGCGCTTTGAGCAGCAGGGCGGCATGGGCGGGTGGGCGCGCCGCGGCCTGGTGGCGGTGCCCGACACCATCCAGGCCCCGGGCGCGGTGCTGGTGAGGAAGATAGACGACAACAGCGAGGACGAGGCGCACACCGTGGACTACATTCGCTCAGTCAAGCTGGCCACGTCAGCATGCGGGGCGGGCTGCGGGCTGGGCGGCTTAGGGGCGTTGGAGCTGCCGCATGCCGTACTGCTGCTGCCGCATGCCGTACTGCTGCTGCCGCCCGCCCGGCGACTCCCAGCTGAAGCGCATCGCCAGCGCTGCCGCTGCCGCAGGCTGGACGCTGTGCACGAGTTCCCCGCCGGCTCCTGGGTCTGCTCCGACCACGGCCCCCGCATCTTTTTCGACGGAGCCGCCTACCTGCCGCAGCACACGCCCCCCGCGCTGCTGGACGAGCGCAGGCGGGAGCTGGAGGCGCTGCGGGTGAGGCGTGGGCGGGTCTGGGACAGGTTGCAAGCAGTTGCGTACCCCCCTACGGCTGGCAGGCGCTCCGCCACACCGCCTGCCCGCGTTGCTTCTTCGCCTTTGGTGCAGGGCGCGCCTGGCCCTGGCCCAAAGAAGGTCTCCGACAGGGCATACGGCTACCAGGTAGCCAGGAGGCTCCGTGGAGGCTCAGCGCATCAGCCCTGCGTGCAATCGGCTGGCGGCTCTGCTGGGCTGCGGTGCACGGGGAGAGCATGTGTTGCCGAGGGGCTGCCGCCACGGAATGGAAGCCCCTGGCCTGCAGGTGTACGACGATCTGGGCACAGCAGAGCAGCCTCGCCCCGCGCTGGGCGGCTCCGCCGAGCTGCCCTACCCGCGCCACCTGTCCAACAACAGGGCGCAGGGCGCCGAGGGGCCCGGCAAGCCTTGGCTGCCCTTTGGTGAGCGCCGGGGCGGCGGGGGACGCGGCCGCCAGCGCGCCCTGCTGTGCCCGGTGGGCCTTGCCCAACTGATGGCTGACTGATGGCTGTCGCTTCGCTTCTCCTGCTGCCGCGCAGACGAGCAGTTTGACTCCAGCAAGCAGCAGGGCTTCAACGGCGACCTGCTCCAGGCGGTGGGCCCCGCGGTGGCGCAGGGCGTGCAGAGCATCGACTCGGCCACCCAGTTTGAGGACTTTGACGACGTGCTGCGCCTGTTCAAAACGGTGGGGGGGCGGCACGGCGCAAGCAGGCTGGGCGCAGGGAGGCTGGGGGTGGAGGGAAGGGTGCGTGCGGTGTTAGGCCCCGACGCATCGGCTGGCTCTCCCCTTGCAGGACCCCGGCGCCGCCGGCTCTGCATCTGGTGCAGGCGAGGGCAGCGTGTGGGACCTGGAGCTGGATGACGAGTCGCTGAGCGACCTGGACGGCCAGGTGCCAGCTGGTGCCAGCTGGCGGTGGCGGGCAGTACACCCCGCAGCAGTACCCTCGCATGCCTCGCCAAAAGCCAGTGCCTTCCTCCCGCTCCGCACTAGTGCCCAGAGGTGCCCAGCGGGCGGATGAGCGCGGGCACGCCGCTGCTGCGCTGCTCTGCGCTGCCCTGAGCGCAGGTGGCCAAGGAGCGGCTGGGGCCGCTGGGCAAGCTGCACAGCAAGGTGGTGGAGACGCTGCGGGAGCTGCGCAGCGCGCCCAGCATCAAGGACCTGCTCAAGTTTGAGGTGCGCGTGGGTGGTTGGGTGGTGGTGGAGGGCACCTGAAAGCCGTCCATTTTTGCCTGCCCAGCCCAGCTGCCGCTACTTCCTGTGCTCCCTGCTTCGAGCTGGCTCGGCAGCACCCAGCTCGCCTGCTGCCGTGCGCATGCGCATGCACCGCCCCACGCCCCTTTCCCGCCCGCCGCCCCCCGCAGCTGCCGCGCGTGCTGGCGGGGCGGGGCCTGGATGTGCTGCAAACCGACGAGGAGTGGGGGCGGCAGTGCATCGCGGGCATGAACCCCTCGGCCGTGGTGGCCCTCACCCGCATGCCCGCAGACCTGGGCAGTGCCATTGGGCTTCAGCACGTGGACGGTGAGGAGGCGCGGCAGCCGGTGTGCCTGCCCTGCAACCCAAGCAGCAGCCTGCCTGCGTCCTGCCGAGCGCTGAGCAGCGGTTATCTTTGCCTGCCTGCCCCTGGGCCCGCCTCTCTTCCTCACCGTGCCCGCCCCCCACCCCTCCCGTCCCCCCGCCACCTCGGCGCAGAGGAGCTGGCCGCGCTGGGCGGCGCCGGCCTGGCGCAGCTGGTCGAGGCGGCTGCTGGCGGCGCAAAGCCGCGCCTCTTCCTGCTCGACTATGCGCTCATGGATACCTTGTGGGGCGAGGCGCCCGCAGATGCGCCAGGCCACGTGGAGCACGCCGGTCGCGCCCTGCTCTTCCTGCAGCAGTGAGGCGCCGGCGCCGCGGCATGCGTGCTCGACGCCGCGCGGCTGCCGGCGGCAGGGCCTGGCTCGAAAGGCCCAGCTCTGCAGCGCCACCACCTCCCCAGCCTGGATGGCTACAACGGGGGCCGACAACAGAAAGCAGCGTTGCAGCTCTGCAGCTGAACTACCCCCGCCCCTCCGCAGGACCCCCGAGGGCCAGGAGCAGGCGCTGATCCCTGTGGCCATCGAGCTGAAGCACAGGCAGACGCAGGCGCAGGAGGCGGCGGCCGGGGGGCAGCTGGGCCCCGGGGCGGGCGTCGTGTACAGCCGGCAGCAGCTCAAGGGCGATGCGCAGGGGCAGGTGGGTGGTTGGGCCAGGCAAAGGCAGGCAGGCAGGCGCCCCACCACGCCAGTGCAGGGCCAGGGCAGCAGCAAGCAAGGGCGAAGCCCCACGCACCGCCCCCTTCCAGCACCCTGCCTGACATGCTTTCCTGCTCCCCGCCCCGCCCCCGCAGGCGCTGTGGTGGCTGGCCAAGGCCATCTTCCGCTCCCTGGACTCTGGCTACCACCAGCTGGTGTCCCACTGGCTGCGCTGCCACTGCGCCACGGAGCCCTACCTCATCGCCATGCGCCGCCAGATCAGCGCCATGCACCCGGTGCGGCACGGCGCCGGCCCCGCGCTCCAGCTGCTGCTCGCAGCATCACAGCCGCCGCCGCTCCTCCAGTACTCAATTCCGGCTCTGCCGCCGCTGCCCTCTCCGCCGTTCCCCGCTGACGGCCCTGCTGCCCTGGCCCGCCCTCCTGCTGCCCACCACCCCGCTCCCAAGCGCAGGTGTTCAAGTTGATGCTGCCTCACTTCCGCTTCACTCTGGACATAAACTCCAAGGCCAGGGGGGCCCTCATCTCCGCCTCCGGCATCATCGAGGACGTGTTCACGCCAGGTGGGCGGCGGAAGCGGTACCGTACCGCAAAGGACGGCGGTGAAGTGCATACGCGGCTGTGCATGGGACGGTCTCCCAGCGGCAACAGGGGCAGCCCTCCCGTCGCCCGCACAGTGGCTGATGCGGACGCTGCTGGCTGTCGCCGCCCCCGTGTGTTGTGCAGGCGCCTACGCCATGCTCCTCTCCTCCGCCGCCTACAAGAGCTGGCGGTTCAGGCTGCAGGCGCCGCCCGCCGACCTGCAGGCCAGGTGCGCGGCGCTGGGCAGGGCACTCCGCAGCAGGCCGCAGGGCCTGCACAGTAGACACAGAGATGGCAGGCTCCCGCTGCCACCTTGGCCCGCTCCCAGCCCTCCCTCACTGTTATTCTTACGCTGCCGCCCGCCACCCGCCTGCCCCTGCCCGCCCCGCGCCTGCCTGCCCGCAGGGGCATGCTGGACGGGGAGGGCCGGGTGTGGCTGGGTGACTACCCCTATGCTCAGGACGGGCTGGAGATCTGGCGAGAGCTGGAGGCGTACTTCGGGGAGTACCTCGCCCTGTACTACGCATCCCCCGAGGATGTGGCGGGCGACGAGGAGCTGCAGGCCTGGTGGGCGGAGGTCAAGGTGCGGCATCAGCTGCTGACGTGGCTCGTCTGCAGGACACGGGCAGCGGCAGGCAGGCAGGCGGGCAGGCGGGCTTGGGTCCTTGAGCGCGGCTGCCGGCTGCGCCTGGCGTGCGCAGGCGGAGGGGCACCCAGACCTGAAGCTGGTTGAGCCCGACGAGGCGGCGGTGTGGGGCTTTGCCGGCCCCATCCCAGACGTGCCCACGCTGGTGCACGTGAGCTGGGGGTGGGCACGACGCGCACGGCCTGGGTGGCAGGGCGCTGCCTGGCACGGGGCAGGGGCTTCGGCATGCACCTGCATCTCACCACCTTGTGTGCCGTCAACCCCACCGCACGTGCCCCCGCTGCCGCGCCCCGTGCACCCCTTCGCCCGCCAGGTGCTTGCCACCATTGCGTGGACTGCGTCCGCCCACCACGCCGCTGTCAACTTTGGCCAGTTTGACTTTGCCTCCCTGCTGCTCAACGTGTCCTCGCTGGCGCGCCGCCCCATCCCGCGCCCCGGCGACGAGGCAGACCCAGCCTACCAGGTGTGGGGCCAGCACCTGGCACAGTGCCTGCCTGCCTCCCTGCCCAGTACATGGCGGCACAGCATCACCGGCAGGAGCCCCGCCGCCGCCACCAGCACCCCTGCCTGCGCCGCCCGTCCAGGCGCTGGCCAAGGCCGCGGGCAAGGGCGGCAAGGCGCTGGAGCGTGAGCTGCTGACCTACCTGTCTGGCCCGCTGGCGTCGCTCAAGGAGATGGTCACGGTGCAGCTGCTGTCCATCCACGCCGACGGCGAGCAGACCCTGGATGAGCGCAACGTGCTGCTGACGGTGGGTGGGAGGCTGGCTGGGCAGGCTGGCAGGCAGCCGCAGGCCCAGCGGCGGGGGAGCCCGCTGTGGGCCGCAGCATCATGCTGGGCCCAGCGGCGGCGGCGGCCCGGCCCGTGGAGCGTGCTCCCGGCCCAGCCGGGTGCCTGCCCTGCCCTCCCGGCTCGACACGATGCACGACAGATGCACGTGCCCATGACGGCGCCCCGTCCCTCCTCTCCCACGCCGCCTGCCCCTGCAGGACCCTGCCGCCATGGCCGCCAACGCTCGCTTCATGAGCCGCATGCAGGCGGCGGAGGCGCGCATGCAGACCCGCAACTCCGACCCCGCCGCCTGGACGCGCTTCAGGGGTGCGCCGCCGCTGCCGCTGGCATGGTCAGGCGGAGTGCCGCTGCTCGCCCTCGTGCACCACCTCTGCCTCTCGCTGTGGAGGCTGCCGAGCAGGGTGGTCGGTGCGGCAGCGTGCCGCGAGCCGAGTCCACACCAACCTGCTGCCCCACCTGGCGACTGCCCCTGCCACGCTGTCCACATGCCTGCAGGCACCAAGGAGGCAATGCCCTACACGCTGCTGGTGCCCCCTTCGCCCCCAGGCCTCACCATGAAGGGCGTGCCCTACTCAGTGTCTATCTGAGGGGGGCGCCTGCCCCTGGGGCGGGCCCGCGAGGGCTCCGGCAGCAGTGTGTGGGGCGGTTGGCACATGCGCGCTGGCGGGTTGCGGCCCTGCCTCTCCGACCACACCCTGCCGCTTGTGAGTAAAGAGCTGGTGGCCCCAGAGATGATACCCCCAGCGATGATGCCCCCAGAGATGATAACCCCCCACCCTGCGTATTTCGATACCGCTGTGCACTGTTTACCGCGTCGCTCTTTTGTGTGACACCATGCTTCGCATTGCAAATCTTGAGCCGTGATCCTTGATCTTTCACCCCTGTGGTGACTCATGTGTAATCTCAGAGCAGATCATCCATTGTCTGGTTACAGAGATGCTGACGCACCGAAAAGGAATGGATGCATGAAATCGTACAGGAGCGGAGGAGTTGTGGATCCGAACAAGCAGGACAAGCACCAGCGTCAGCGACGCAACGAAGCACGCACAGTGAAGGACAGAGTCAAGGCCCTTGTCGGCGCAGCCGGCGTCCAGCCACCACCGCTCGGTCAGCCAAGGGTCAGCTGCCAGGGGTCATACACCTCCCGCAGCGAGTCGGGCCCGGCGTCGGGCTCCCAGACGGCGGCCTGCAGGCGCAGGGCCATGCACTTTGAATTACGCCCACGATCTGCCACCAGGCTTTGAGCATGCGGCGCGGGGCGTGCACAGAGAGGCAGCGAATAGGTCGGCTGGGAAGGGGGGCGCACAGGTGCACTGGCACCCAGCAGAAACAGGCCGCCGGATCTGTGGAGGCGGCAGTGGGGCCACCCACCTGCAGGCGCCCGTCAGGGCTGGGGATCAGCAGCAGCTCAGCCACCACCACCGGGGGGCCGTGGGCGTGGAACTGGGACTGGCTGCGCAGCTGCAGGCAGCACGGGCGGGTGTGCGCTTGGTCGAGCGGGGGCAGCGCGTGCGCCAGCAGGGGCAGCACCGGCGGGCGCAAGCTGCTGCACCACGGGCTTGCCAGCTGCTATGCAGGCACGGCGGCCACGCACCGGCACCACCAGGACTTTGTCGATGCTGGTGAGCAGCTTGTTGCAGGCTTCCAGCCCGTCCTGGTCGCCTGGCCTGCACAGCGCAAGCGGCGACGGCACATGCACAGCGGGCTCAGCGCTGTCGACCTGGGGAGTGCAAACGCAGGTGCGGGTGCATGATACGTGTGGTGTGCGGCCAGGGCTGGGGACCTCACTTCTTGCGCGGCTTCACCAGCAGCAGCTGCCCCATCAGCTCCGCCCTCAGCTGCTGGTACTGCCACACAGAGGTGCGCAGGGTGTTGGGCGCCACTGCAGGCGGCGCGGTGCAGGCAGGGGGACATGGGAAGGGCACATCAGGCACACGCAAGGCCAGGGCGGCACGCTGAGAGGGTGGGCAGGCACGGCACGTCGATGGCAGGGCGGCAGCACTTCTCACCCAGGTCTGGTGGCAGCGAGTGCAGCAAGGGGGGCCCCAGCATACGGATGCAGCAGTCTGGCTGGGTCTTGGCAGGTGAGCGGTACAGCCTGCCGTACCAGGCAGGCAGCGCCAGCACCAGCAGCGTGCCGGGCCCCAGCGCCGCCAACTCAGCCTGGTCCACCCCGACAAAGAACATGACATCAGGCGTGGGCACCTGCGAGGAGGCGGGACCGTGGGTCGGGTTTTAAAGCGCAGCATCTTTCCAGCACAGTGTAAATGGCCGAGCCTGGCCGGCTGGCTGAGAGGGCAGGCTGCGGCTGCCGGTGCATGAAGCCAAGGCTCGAGGGCGGCGCCACGCAGCAGGGCCGCGGTGTGTTATGCAGCCGTTGGCAGCGCTGCCTGCAGGCTGGGGCAGCCCACCAGCAGGTGCAGGGACCACGCGTGGGCCTCCTTGCGCTGCCACATCGCCTCGTCGTTCACAGCCTGCTTGCCCGACAGGCTGACCAGGCAGCAGCCCACCTGGAAAGGGAAGCAGGCAGGCAGGGCGCGCAGGATGTATGTTGGGCGAGAGAGCAAGCTGGCTTGAGCTAAGCACAGATCAGAGTAGATGCGTGCCCTCTTTCCATCCATGCAAGCCATGACATCAGCTGAACTTGATAGCAGCTCGCTAGCCGCCTGCTGGCCCGACCGCCCACCAACACGCCCAGCCCCACCTTGCCCTCCGGGAGGGGACGAATGCTTGCACCGCCGCCGCCTTGCGTGGTCAGCAGGAACCAGCACAGCTGCAGCCAGCGAGCGATAGGCCAGCAGGGCACAGCATGGAACATCAGCAGCGTCAGTGAGCAAGGGCAGGGCCAGGGCTGCGGCGCCACAACAAAACGTGCGGCATGCAGGCGCGCAGCGGCAGCGGCCTGGCGCCACTGGGAATCAGCACTGGCACGCACCTGCCCCGGCCGTGCCCCGTGGCCCTTCAGCATCGGCAGCAAAGACTCCCCGGGAATCGTCATTGTCACCACCAGGCGCGGCGGCAGCTGCAGGTGGAAAGGCAACACAGGCAGGAACACACCATCAAAAGCCTAACTGGCAACAAGTGGGGGGCAGGTCACTTCACGAAGACGCACTGCTGCAGAAGCGGCAGCGTGCGCAGCGTGCCATACAGCAACGTGCCTGCATCGGCGGGCCGACATGGCCTGGCGCCTGCCAGCTGAGGGCTGCGGCCGACAGGCGTGTGTGTGGCTTGCCATGGCCCTGCGGCCAGTCCAGCTCGCCATGCCAGAAGGCGGCGGCATCCTGGGGGTCGTGCTGCTGCGGAAGGGGAGGGTGGCACTGCGGCTCCGGCTGGCGGTACTGCTGCTGCTGCTCCTGCAGCAGCTCCTGCTGCACCTGGTGGTACTGCAGAGGCTGCACAGACTGCTGCGGCAGCAGGGGCGCGCCATAGGACCAGCCGGCAGACAGGCCGCTGCTGCTGCCATTGGGCACTGGCGGCCCATTGTCGCGCGAGCCCGAAGCGTGTGGCGGCGCTGCGTCTTGATGGCCACCCAAGTCTTGGGCAACGGGAGGCCCCAGCTGCCGCTGCTGCTGCTCCTGCTGCTTCTGATGTGCAGGTGGCAGTGGTGGAGGCATGGCAGTCCTCTTCTCCGGCTGCTCCCCTTGCCGCTGCTGCTGCTGCTTCTGCCGCTTGTTGGCTGGCGGCGGGCTGGCAGCACGCACCTGGGTGTGCCTGCCGCCGCTCCCCCTGCCCCCGCTGCCTCCAAGCGTCGGCCGCCAAGGGCTGCGGCTCCTGCTGCGCTTGCTTGCGTGCCGCAAGTTGCCGCCTTGCCTGCCGCCGTGCCGGCTGTCAGGCTGCTTGCTGTCCCCTGCTGCGGCACCATTGTTGTGGCGCCTGCCAGGCGGGCTTGCGCCCCTGCTTTTACCCCGATCCCTGCTCCTGCTCCTGCTGTGCCGCCTCTTGAGATCCCTGCTGCCGCCGCTGTCACGCCGCCGCCGCTCATACTCCTTGCCGCCGCTGCGGGGCCGCTCGTCCCCATGCCTGGTCGTGTCATCCTTGCCGAGCTGCCGCCGACTCTCTTCCCTACTACCGCTGCGTTGGTCCCTGTGCTGATGGCGGTCCCTGCTGCTGCTGCGGTGGTCCCTTTGCCGGCCATCTCTGCTCTTGCTGCGCGCCCTACTGCTGTGCCCCCGCGCCTCCTCCTCCCTCTTGGTGCGGAGCTGCGCCGCCGTCTCCTCCCTCCTGCCCTGGCTGCGTGGATCGGAGGCGGCTGCTGGTGGCGCTGCCACTCCTGCCGCCGCCTGCGGCTGCTGCGGCTGCTGCTGCAGCGGCTCTAGCGGCAGCAAGGGCGCATCCTCAGCCAGCAGGTCGGGCGTGCCTTCTTGCGACGACTCTGCGGGCTGCTGCATCTGCTGCTGCTGCTGCGGCGGCGGCGGGGACATCTGCCCTGCCTCCTCCAGGTCTGGGCTGCCGGCACGCTGCAGCTGAGGGTTCGACCCCAGCCCCGCCTGCTGCCGCGCAAGCCACTGCTGGCGCCGCCGCTCCTTCTGCTGCTGCTGCTGCTGCTGCTGCGCGCGCTGCTGCTCCTCCACGCTCGCTCCCTGCGGCAGCGGCGGCGGTGCTGGCTGCTGCGGTGCCGCCGCTCCCGCAGCAGGCACTGCGGGCTGCTGATCTAGGTCTGGAGTGCCCTCCCGCTGCTGCACCTGCGGATGCCGCGCAGGTGGCGCAACATCCAGATCGGGCGTGCCTGCCCGCCCTCCTGCCCGCATCCCCATCCCTGCCTGCTCCTGCTGCTCCTGCTGCTGCAACGGCGGCTGCAGCGCCGCGCCTGCCGCGCTGCCCCCTGCCGCCTGCTTGGCGAGCTCTTCAAAGTCCCACACCGCCGCTGCTGCCGCCGAGCCGGGCGAGCCGCCGCTCACGTACCCGCCGCCGGGGCTGCCGCCCTGGTGGGGCAGCTCATAAGCAGGCATCCTGGGGATGGCTGGCAGAAGCCCGCTGGTGCCGGCAGCGCCCAGGGGCAGCACGCTGAGCCCCGGGGCGGCCCGGGAGGCATGGTCACCGGTGCGGATGGGGGGCAGGGACACGTGGACAGGCGACCTGGACTGCCCAGCGCCACCCGGCTGCTGCTGCTGCTGCTCCCCGGCTGCCACGGCTGGACCGGCGTGGGCGAGGCCAAGCTGTGTGGAGCCAAGCGCCACATCCGACATGCCGTCCACAGCCGGCGAGGGGCTGGCGTCTGGGGAAGCAGGGCTGGCGGCGGCGTTGCCACGGCGCATGCCGCGAACGCCAGGGAGCAGCCTGCGCCAGCGGCAGGCAGGGGCAGCCATTGTGCGTGGTTGCCAGCCAGCAGACAACAGTCGGCACACAAGCAGAGCATGTCCCCAACACTACTGGCCAGGCAAACTGGGCAGACAAGCCTGGCACCCACCCCGCCTGCTTCAGCTCGATGGCCGCCGTCGTCGACTTGGTGGCGGCCACCTCTGGCGGCAGCACCGCCTGCCGCAGGCTCTGCTCCCACACCTGCTTGCGGTACGCCTGCAGGTCCTGCAGCAGTTCAGCGCCACAGCACTGCTGCTCAGCACCCCAGCTGCGATGTGTGGGGCTCGCCCCGGCCAGGCGCTGGCCGCAGGCTCCGCACCAGCAGCAGGGCATTGCCGCAGGGGCAGGCAACAGCGAGCTGGCGGGCAGGGCAAGCGGGTGACGAGAAGGTGCGCTGCTCACAAGCCAATGTAAGGCAGGGACATGTGCAGGTGCGGCCAACCTTGGATGCCAGCTCATCCGAGGTCATCTGCACAAAGGTGGCGGCCGGGATGTCGCCGCGCAGCACGTGCGCCCGCAGCTCGCGGTTCCGCGCATCCTGCACGCGGCACCAGCCAGGCAGCCATGTTGAGGGGACGGCGGTTTGTGGAACGGGCACCGCACGCCCCCGGCACCTCTCAGATCAGCTGCCAGCCAGCCTGTCTGCAACCTCTGGCAGAACCATGGGCTGCTCCCTGCTGGCGTGGCGCCAGCTGCAGGCGCACCTTCAGGTTGGTCTGCAGCATGCGAGCCCGTTCCCGGTACCCTTTGCTGGTCTGCCCGCCGTGAGCCTCCAGGAGCGCCTCCTCCACCTCCGCGGCCACAGCCGCTGCCGTTGCAGCATCGCACGGCCCGCGTCCCTCGTCAGCGGCCTCGTCCCCGCCCTGCTGCTTCAGCTCCACCGCTGCCATCAGCAGCCCCTGCTCCATCATGACCCGCACCTTGTGCCGCACAGTCTCGTTGGGGGGACTGGCAACGGCCTCGGCCGCGGCAGCTGCTGCAGCGGCGCCCTTGCGGCTGCCGCCCGGGCTGGCCAGGTTGCGGCTGCTCAGGCCGCGGGGGCTCAGCAGCTGCGACTGGCTGGGCTGCTGCTTTAGGCGCTGCTGCTGCTGCTGCTGCTGCTGCTGCTGCTGCTGCTCTTGCCCCACCTGCGCGACGCTGCCGCCGCTCCTACCAGGAGACAGGATGCTGTCGCTCCTGCCGGCAGACAGAACAGGCTCCAGCGGGCCAATATTCCTGCTGCCGGTGCTGCCGCCTGGCCCGCCTGTGGCTGCCGCTGCCGCTGCCGCGCCAGCGGTTCTCTTGCGCCGTGCCTGGCCCTGCGGCGCATCCGCCACAAACGGCGACTGCTGCAGCACCGGCTGCCGCAGCATCACGCTCTGCACTGGCCGCTGCGCCTGCTGCGGCTTCTCATCGGCATCTGGCTCCTGCTGCTTGCGAGGGCGCTGCTTGCCTGCGGACAGGGGGCGAGCGCCGAGCTCGCTGTGTATCCGCCCAGCCGCCGCGCTCTGGATAGCTGCTGCCACCAGCTGCGACCCGAGAGCCGCCTCCTCTTGGGCAGCAGCGGCTGCTGCTGCCTGCGCCGACGAGGGCCTCGCTGCAGGCGCTTGCGGGGCTGCCTGCTGCGGCACCCTTGCCGGTGGCGGCGCTGCTGGTGATGGTGGTGGTGCTGCCACAGGCGGCGCCCCTGCCGCGTCTGGCGTCGAGTCTTGCTCCTCCTCAGCTGGCACCACCTCAAAATCATCATCCGGCGGCAGCGGCGGCGGCGCAGCGTCCTCCTCGACCTCCTGCCCAGGTGACAGCTCAGACTGGCCACGATGCCGGCGCCTGCGCTTCCGCGTGCAGCCAGACCGTGGCGACGCCACCGCCAGCCGCTGCTCATCGGGCAGCAGCGGATGCGGCGACGGCGGCGGCGGAGGTGGCGGCGGCGGGGCCGCTGCTTCCAGGAGCGGCGGCAGCGGAGGAGGGGCCGGCGACGGAGGTGGCGGAGGTGGCGGCGGCGGCGGCTCCTGCTCCCGCTGCACTGCGCGCCGAGCAGGGACGGCCACGGATGCCAGCGCATTGCGGCCAGCCTCCTGCTGCTGCTGCCCAGCTGCCCGCCGCTGCTCCGCCTCCAGGATCGCAGCCTTGACCCCCGCCCCCGCCTTCTCCGCCTCCTGCCGAGCCAGCTCTTTTGCCAGCCTGTCCAGCTGCTCCTGCTGGGCTGGGATGCGGCGGCGTACCTGCAGCGAGGCAGGCAGCCAGCCGATCAGCCAGCCAGGCAGGCCACGCACTGGGACGGCAGGGGGCCACTATGCGGCAGGGACAGCCGCCGCATGCTGGCAGGGCAGGACCTGCTGCGTGCAGGCGCATAGCGACGCCGACGCGAAGCTGAGTAGCCAGGTGCAGCGCGGGCTGAGGGCGGGGGCAGCGCTCGGCGGCGCACCGTGACCCTGTGCGGCGGGTGCGGCAGCTGGGAGTCTGTGATGAGCGGGCCCACCGCCACGCGCATGCCGCACTGCTGGGCTGCACGGCACGCCGAGGGCAGCAGGGCAAGGGGCAAGTGTGGGCAGGCAGGTTGGCAGGGCGATGAGGAGGAGGAGGAGTGCCAGCCATGTGTGAATCGGCGGGCCCTGCCCCATGCCTCCACCAGCCGCAGGCCACCCAGCGCGCCCCACCCACCAATCTCTGCATCGCTGAAGGCCAGCACGCCCCAGGTCAGCGCGCTGGGTTTGCTGGACCCCACATCGTGGCGGTCGACCAGGAAGCTCCTGCAACAGCGCAGGCGGCGGCAGGCAGGGGGCAGATTGCAAGAATGCAACGCACGCGCCCACCCCAGCACCCGCCTCCCTGCATCGATGCCCACTGCCCGCCGACGCTGCACAATGCAGCGCCATTCTGCAGCAGCTGGCCCCCGCACAGCGGTGCACCTGTCGGGCTTGAATGCGGCTCCAAAGGCAAGGTTGCAGGGTTCTAGGTACTCCCTCTGAAAGTTGAAGCCCAGCCCCGCGGGCAGGCCCTCCATCCACACATAGAACAGCGCATCTGGCGTGTAGTAGGGCTGCGTGCTGCCGGTGCCGCTGCCCCGTCCCGCCACAGCAGCCTCCGAGCCGCTGCGCGGCAGCGAGCGGCCGTGCGCCAGCCCCGGCGCGCTAGAGCCGTTGACCGCCGGCGGCGGCGCGGGCGGCGGCGGCGCCCCCTCCCGCTGCGCGCCCATCCTGCTTTGCGGGATCACGGCAGCCGGGTATTGCTCGTTGGCTTCCAGTAGGGTGCCGCGCTCGTTTTGCCTCCCGAACGGGAGAAACTCTCCCTCTTCATGCGCCTCTCTGGCTGCTGCAGCGGTCGCAGGGTACCTTGCACGGATCTGTGGAGTCGTGGACCTGCTAGAAGGGCTCGCAGGATCCTAGAGCCGCAACAAGGTCGCGTCTCCCCCGCGATCAGCGGCTCGAGCGGTGTGCTTGCTGGGAATGGCAGGGGGAATACCCACGAGAGGAAGCATACGACCTTCACGCCGCTCGCGCTATATGCCTGCCCTGCGATGCCAGCTGCCGCCCGCCTGGCGTTCCAAACCCGCCGCCACTGCCCCGCCACCCACTGCATTCCCAAGCACTGTGCATGTGCTCCCAAACATGAATGTACAAAAGCGACGCTGAACAGTGTGCAGACATGATAGTGTAACGGCCAGGCAAGCAAGCGCCGCGCTACTTGCGGTAGAACTCGGGTGGCAGCGGGGTGCCGTCGGGCCACCACGCCACGGCCGCCAGGTCTGGGTGCTGGCGCAGGAAGGAGCGCATGTCGGTGGGGTGCACATCGGGATACCTGCGGGCAGGCAGACAGTAAACAGTTAGAAGAGAGCATTATCTGCCGCTGTGCAGGAGACGGGCGAGAAGCGACGCCCCTGCTGTTTGCAAACCGCCAGCGCCCACTGTCATGTCATCTGTCTGCCTCGAGCCACACCTGTCGTTGGCCACGTGCTGCAGCTTGGCGCTGCCATCAAACACGACGCGCTGGTACATGAGGGGAACACAGATCTGCCAGGCGGACGGGTCGGCTTGCATGCGGCGGCTGAGCTCTTCCGCAAGGTCATCAATGCTACCCAGGCATTTGCTGGGCAGCTCCTTGCCATACACCTCCTTGTAGGCTGCCGCCACGTCATTAATGGAAAGCTGCACCACAGCCAGGCAGCGCTAGCGGCTGGGATGCAGCAAGCCAGCAGGTGTGCAGCATGCCAGCTGGCATCATGCAGGCCTCAAGAGTATGCTGATCGCTCGTTTGCCTGGCTGCCAGCAAACTCCAGGACACCAGTTGCCTCTGGGTCGATAGCTGCTCGAGCCGTGTACTCGGCCTGCCCGCAGAGAACGGTCAAAGGGGAGTGAGCAGAGCGGTCGCATGCAGCCTGGCCAGCGCCTACATGCCAGCGCCTACATGCCAGGAGGCAACCAGGGGCAGCCCTGATGAGGGCTACTCTCCCACAGGTGCCGCTCGCGTACCGTGTCCTGCGAGGTGGTGACATCCAGCTTCTGGTCAGGCGAGCCGTAATAGCGGAGGGTGCCATCTTCGTGGCAGTACAGCCCCATGACGCCCCAGAAACATTCCGTGGTGATGCCAACGTTGATGTGCAGGTGCTGCAGCAAAAAAGCAGGGAGGCAGGCATGTCATCCCTGGTGTAGCTGGCGTGAGACAGCAGACAGCAGCCGCATTGTGTTGCATGGGCCAGGTGGGAGAGCTGCCTCACCGGCATGCCGCTGTCCTTGAGGATGTCAGCAAATTGCAGAGCCATGGAGCAAACGGCGGAGTCTTGGTCGCGGTCCAGAGCAAACACATTCACTGAAAAGGTGGAGGCCACAAACTGCAGGCAGGAGGGGCAGGCAAGATGGGCAAGGGGTGGGTGGCCATCCGGTGTGTCAACCCAGTACGCCACCACAGTGCAGCCAACCCACAACCTGCCTTTTTCACTCCCGCGGCCTTGGCGGCATTCAGCAGGCTGGCCTGGCCGTCCACCATGGCCGCCTCATCCCCCATCACGCAGCTCACAACCACATCCACGCCAGCCACCGCAGGGCCCAGGGTGCCGGGCTGCAGGAGGTCGCCCTCCATTAGGTCCACTCCCGCGGCCTTCAGAGCCTCCAGCACCTGCACAGGCAGCAGTGAATGGACGGGGCGGCGGCGCCATGTCTGACGATAGGCGACAGCAGGCCGCTGGGGTCGAGCGCCGAAGCAGTGCCGCTACCCCTGGCGCGCCGTCACGGCTGCCCTCCCACCTTTTGCGTTTCAGGGTCGCTGGGAGAGAGGGACCGATCCAGGCCGCGCACGGTGGTGCCCGGCAGCCGCGTGCACGCGAGGGCGGTGCGGTGGCCCAGCCCGCCGGCGACACCTGCCACTAGCACGACGGTCATCCTGCCAGTCGCGTGCTTTAGGTGTGCGGTCCCTTGGATAGCGTCGCTGGTTCGCAAGAGAGCGCTTGTGCCGCCTTGGAGGCGGTGGCCAACCCCGCTCGAGATGGGATTTCCGCGGCGGTGACCCCAGCTGCACAGCGAGGAACCACGCGTGTGTGGACAGCAACGGCTAGCACCGCCGAAGCGAGGATAAGACAAAAGCTCCGAAACGAATGTTCCGCAGTACCATCAGCCTGAATCTTCCCCCTGCTGCCGTGCACGGTGGCACCAGCACCGCCTGGCCCGCCCTGCTAGCACACTGATCCCCAATCAATTTTAATGCAGTTGAAACTGTAACTCAACCACTGGCAGCAGAAACAAAAGGCCAGCACAAACAGGCAGCGTACAGCCTCTCTACTTGCGGTAGTACTCGGGCGGCAGCGGGGCGCCAGGCCACCACGCCACCGCCGCCAGGTCTGGGTGCTGGCGCAGGAAGGAGCGCATGTCGGTGGGGTGCACATCGGGATACCTGCAGGCCGGCAGACAGTAAATCGTGAGAACCGAGCATTGTTGTACAGCCTCGGCACTGCTGGGGTCAAATCCCCCAGCGGCACACGGCGCTCTCTGTTGTCCCACCATCTGCCTCGAGCCCACCTGTTGTTGGCCACGTGGTGCAGCTTGGCGCTGCCGTCAAACATGACGCGCTGGTACATGAGGGGGATGTACATTGGCCAGGCGGAGGGGTCGGCTTGGAAGCGGCGGCTGGCCTCGGCGGCGAGGTCTGCGGTGCTGCCCAGGCACTTGGTGGGCAGCTCCTTGCCATACACCTCCTTGTAGGCCGCTGCCACGTCATTGATGGAAACCTGCAGGCAGCCAGCAGAGCCATCGGTGAGATGCGGCAAGCGGCTGCCACGCGTGTGATCTGCCGGGCAGCACGTGCGGCGCTGGGGGTCCACACTGTGGGGCAGGCAGGCCTCAGCAACCGCGGACCACTCGCTTGCCTGGTCTCCTGCAAACTCCAGGATGCCAGTCGCCTCTGGGTCAATAGCCGCCCGTGCCGTGTACTCCGCCTGCACGTCACCCCACGGCATGAGCAAAGGGGAGTGCAGACTCAGCCGCCGCATGTGGCCCGCCGGCATGCAGCTTGCACACCCAGGCGAGTGCCCCGCACCGTGTCCTGGTAGGTCGTGACATCCAGCTTCTGGTCAGGCGAGCCGTAGTACCGAAGGGTACCATCCTCGTGGCAGTACAACCCGAAGAAACCCCAGAACACTTCCGTGAAGGCGCCGAGGCTGATATGCAGGTACTGCAACGCAGGGAGGCAGGCAATGTCGGCCGTGGCACGGTAAACCACCTCGAAAGCCGCCACGTCAGCACCGGCAGTGCCAGTTAGGGCACAGGAGGCACAAGCTGCCGAGCTGGTGCCGCACCGGCACGCCGCTGTCCTTGAGGATGTCGGCAAAGCGGCGGCGGGGCGCGATCATGAAGTGCACCGCGGGGTCCAGAGCAAACAGGTTCATGGAGAAGGTGGAGGCCACAAACTGCAGGAGGGGCAGGCGCGTGTTGATCTCAGAAGTGTGAATGGGGCTGGAGACAGGCGGGCACGGCGGAACCGTTGGCTGGCGCAGGTGGCTCATCCAAATGACGCAAAGCTGCGCTCAGAGCGCCACAGAGCAGCCGGCCCATGACCTGCCTTTTTCACTCCCGCATCCTTGGCGGCATTCAGCAGGTTGGCCTGGCCGTCCACCATGGCCGCCTCATCCCCCATCACGCAGCTCACAACCACATCCACGCCAGCCACCGCAGGGCCCAGGGTGCCGGGCTGCAGGAGGTCGCCCTCTGCCAGCTCAACCCCCGCCGCCTTCAAAGCCTCCAGCGCCTGCAGCAGCAGTATGCAGAAGGGGGCGCTGGTGAGAAGCTGCAACCGCGGACAGCAGTCGGCTGCGGCGGCAGGCTGGAGTGATCCAGCGTCGAGGCGCAGCCACTGCCCCAGGGGACGCCAAACCACACCCAAAGCTATGCTGCGCACCTTTTGCTTGCCGGGGTCGCTGGGGGACAGTGTGCGGACCAGGCCGCGCACGGTAGTGCCCGGCAGGCGCGCAGCGGCGAGGGCGGTGCGGTGGCCCAGCCCACCGGCGGCTCCCGCCACCAGCACCACAGTCATGATGTGTGCTTGGTTGCTTCTGAGCAGTCGCTTAATCGCCAGAGGGCGTTTGTGAGCGATGGCGAGGGGGATCACCTCAGCCCGCAGATGCCCTCTGCTTGCTGCAAGGAGGACCGCCGTCCCAGTGGGAAGTACAGCGGACCGCCGTCACAAATGTCGGGGAGGAGCTGCCGGAATGTTTGGCTCGACCAGCAGAGCGATGTCAAACCTTGCGGCGGCGGGCCCCGGCTGGCGCGCGCAGGGAGCCCCCCCATGACCGATGATGTGAGCCCGGGCTGGGCAGAATCTGCCACTACCAGATTCCATCTGGAAAAAGCCTTTCAATTCAAGGGCGGTCATGACAGCTTTGCGCACGCTCGGTAACATGCGAACGCCCAGGCTGCCGCGAGCAGCGGCAGCCTGGCACATGCATGCTGCGCTCCACTGCGCTCCTGGCTGCACCGGGTCATGTGCCTTCGATGGGGATGACGTGGCCCATGCCCGCCCAGTCAGCCACCTTGGACTGGTACACGCCGTCGTACTGCAGGTGCGCGTGGAAGGGCGCATAGATGTTGGCATCCGATGAGCCGCCGTCCTTCTTCTCCCGGTCCTGCAAGCGGGGCGAGGGCGAGGGCGAGGGCAGCGCGGCGGCGGCGGCCGGTGTGAGCCGCGGCTGGCAGCAGCTGATGCCAGCTGGCGCACGCTGCGGTATACTTTGGTTCCGCGGCTCACTCGGCCTCCGCCGCACGCATCGAGCGGCGCCCCCCACCACCCAGCCCCGCCCTCCGCTGCCCCCTCCCTCCCCGTGCCCCCACCTGCGAGTACCCCCGGTGGTATGCCTGCGCCGCGTCGTCGCAGTCGTACCCCAGCAGCCGCTCCACGCTGACCACCAGCAGCGCATTGGCCCACTCAAACCACTTGCGCGTGCACTGCCGCGTGTTGTCCACGTGCACGCTCTCGTGCATCAGCCCGTCGCCGCACTGCAGCTTGAGCAGCGTGCGCAGGCCCTGGGCCTGGTCCTGCGGGCTGGACGCCGTCAGCACCTCGGTG